GACCACCACCAACACCTTCCGTACCTTGATTCTGCCAGCCGTTCTAGTTCCCTTGGCCAACCAATGTCTTTTGAGCACCAGCTCCCTCCTTCATTGTCACTCCAAGGAAACCATCTCCCTTTCCTCTGATGGCATGCTACTCTCTGGAACCACTAGCGACGGTGCCTCTACACGACCCATTGCAGTGGACATCTCTCCCACCAACAACTTACCTACCGCTACGGCATACCGGTCATTGATTCTCCGCAACCCACTCCCGAGGCCCACGCTGACAATGTCACTGTGGCAATCGACAACCTCCACAGTTCCCAAAGCCCAGCTCCGACATCATCTCGCACTGATCGAAAGTCTTTCATGATGTCCAGCATTGCCGAAGTCAGTCGCCACAACATCAACCTTGATGACGGTGAGAAGGAATGGTTGAAATGGCATCAACGTCTTGGCCACCGTTCATTCGCCATTGTACGCTTCTTGATGCGCACCGGGACCCTTGCTAAAAGTCAACGCATGCGGACGCTGCACACCCACATTTCCAAACAAGTTGAACCACCCAAGTGTGCCGCATGTTGCTACGCCAAAGCTAAACAACATGCCGTTGCCAAGGCCAAAACTCATGCTTGCGTCAAGGATGCTCCCAGCTCTCTTTGCGCCAACACTCTTTATCCCGGTCAAGAGGTATCCATCGATCATCTTGTTTCATCTGTTCCTGGCCAAACCTACACTGGCTACGGGAAAGGTCACAAGTCTGAGATGTTCCGCGGATCTGCTATCTTCGTCAACAATGCAACAGGATATATCTTCGTTCAACATCAGAAATCCCTGAACACCCACAAAACATTACGGGCCAAGGAAATGTACGAGGCGAATTGTGGTGACCTTGGTGTCGTTCCTCAAAAATACTGCAGTGACAAAGCTGCTGTCTTCCACAGCCACAAATACAAGCAACATCTTGAAGCCTTCAGTCAAACTCAAAAGTTCGCTGGTGTTGGCCAACACCATGCCAATGGCATCGTCGAAAAGGCCATTCAGGACATTCAATCTACTGCCCGCATATGCAGTCTTCCTCCACAACCACCTCCCCAACGTCAACACTGGTCTCACACCCATGGACAAATTCTCCCGCCAACGTTGGCCCCACTCCAAATATCACGATATCCATGTGTTTGGAGGCCCCACCTACGTTCTCGACAAGAAAATCGCGGATGGTAAGACTCTCCCCAAGTTCTCGCCACGCTCCAAACGTTACGTTCACCTTGGGTTCAGTCCTTTTCACGCAAGCACAGTGCCGCTGGTCCTCAACCCTCGCACCGGTGCCATCACACCCCAATTCAATTGCATCTTTGATGACTGGTTTGCCACATTATCCGCCAACGTCGACGATGTCCCCACCTTCATGGAGGAACAGTGGCAGCATCTCTTTGGCGACTCCCAATTTCAATTTCCCACCGATGATAATGATCCTTCTTCCTTGACACCTCAATCTCAAGTCCCCCTATCTTATGAGCCTTCCGCTCTTGATTCCTTTGAACCTTCCACCAGCCGCTACGCCGGCACCCAACCTTCCCTATCTGATCCCTCCGTTTTCCGTGAACCCTCCCAGCCTTCGTTTGAGAGGGAGAGTGTGTCAGTTGAGAGGGAGCAGTCTCCTCCCGCCAATATTCCTACATCCACAAATACTGGCAATCCTACTCCATCACACCTTCAGAGGGAGCAACAAACTCAGTCAAAGAGTCCCCATACAACGGCACGCAAAACTCCCATTGACCTACCATTGTCATCAATTCCGCCAACATCATCATCCGGACCACCATTGCGACGCAGTACACGATCCACCACCCATTCTCGATCCAAACCCCCATTCTAAGACCTACGTCTCCAAACCTTTGCCATCCTCCAACTTGGCCGAGATCAATCCATCAAACGATCCTGACTTCAATGACACCGAAAACCTCCATTCGTTCCCAAAGGACACTCCATTTCTTGCCAACGAGGATCTGGTATTGACCACCAGCCATCCTTCATACAGATGATTCAAGACTCAACCAGAGTCAGATGATGGTGGTATTTGCGGATTCTATGACCTCCATTTCTCCTACCTTGGCTACACCACCACAAACACTCCCAAATTTGTGTTTCTTGACAGCAAGGCACCACCTGATTCGATCGAATTTCTCAAAACTGGCACCACCGACCCTGATATTTTAAGCTGGGATGAAGCTATGGCTGGTCCTGATCGAGACAAGTGGCGTGAGGCTGCCTTGAAGGAGATCAGAGCACTCGAACACAAGCGCACATGGTTGGAAGCCCCAGAATCCAATGCCACAGTCAGAGTAATTCCTGGCACTTGGGTTTTTCGAGTCAAACGCGCGCCAGATGGATCCATCATCAAATTCAAGGCCAGATGGGTATTACGAGGTGATCTTCAGGACCTGGACATGGACACCACCGCTGAAGTTGTCGCTTGGTCCTCGGTCCGCACATTTATGGTCCTTAGTCTCTAGCTTGGATGGGTCATGAAGTCGATCGATTTCACCAATGCCTTTCTCCATGCCAAACTACCAGACAATCTGGAAATGTTTGCTCACCTACCAAGAGGCTTCTACTCTAATATGAGAAGTATCACTGGTGAACGAACAGTACTACACCTCAAGAAGTCTGCATATGGGACAACCATTGCGCCAAGGCTATGGTACAAACATTTAATGAAGGCATTTCACGAGCTTGGATTTGAAAGCTCCTCCTACGATAAATGCTTCCTTATTCGCAAAGACATGATGATTGTCGTTTATGTCGACGACTGCGGTATCAGCACTGACAAACCAGAGAAAATCGATGAACTTGTCAACCAGCTGAAAGAAAAGGGATTTGATTTGGAGATTGAAGGCGACTTTGAAACGTTTCTTGGAGTCAAAATTCGCCAGATGAAGGATGGTAGATACCACCTCCTTCAAGAAGGGCTCATCAAGAAGGTGCTTGAAGCCGCCAAGATGACAGACTGCAGTCCCAATCACGTTCCGGCTGCACCAACCCCACTAGGAAAGGACCCTAACGGAGAACCTTGGTCCCAACATCCCTGGCGCTACAGCTCAATTGTTGGGATGCTAATCTATCTCTGCACAAATACTCGCCTCCATTGGGTCGTCCAACGGAAAAATCACCAGAGGATCCTGTACCGCCAGCCCAAGAATCAGTCCTCGGACATAGACGACGAGCTCCCGATCGTTTCCAATAAATTTGTCCTTGATGTCACGGTCAAGCGCAGCTCAAATGCGTTGCTCGACTAAGTTCCAGTCCCCATCACAAATCTGTAGTAGCTTCTCAGCTGCTTCCTCCCAGGATTCAGTCGCCGGAGGGTCTACGAAATTTTCAGAATACCCTTCGCACCAAGGCCAGCGGAAATCGGGCTTGTTCTCCCATGCCGCGAACAGCTTGTTTCCAAAGACCCCTTCTTTTTTATTGTTGCGTTGATCATGAGCACGGTGGGTTGTGCATAAATAGGCAAGGGTTTGCAGGTTCCACTGAGACGAATCGATGTTCTGGACAATGCGATCGTACTTCAGTGGATTCTCGACCTCCTCCATCTCGGTGTCGCTATTGTTGTTGACAATTGGAGGGTCCAAATCGTCGGATTCCTTTTTCGATCAAATTTTGGCGGTTTTGGCTCGGCTTTTTTGCGAAAAACTGATGCGACCCTGAGTGAGAGCAGTAGAATTAACAGGTTTAGCAACAATTGCCACTTTCTTGCTGTTCTTGGAATTTCCCATTGTTGGGATATGACCAAATATGAGTTTTTACGTTCCAGAAAGAAACTATTCAAGTACAAAGTTTTTGACACGTACGATCGGACTTTGATCGTGATGTCAGGATTTGACGCAAGTATGCCGGACGCAAGTCTGTCGGACAATCTACATCCACACAAAAAGGGAATGACCCTATATAAATGTGACATCGATGTTGTGTACAATGTAGTAGGGAATAATACAAGATGTCCCAAAGTACTGCATGCAACACAGAATTGTCGTAGAGGTCAAATCAAGTTCTGTGAACAAGGGATTTTCCAAGGGAAAATTGTTGAACTTACTTTTGTGATTGAATCATCAATTCAAGCCAAATATTAATCAAATAGGAACAATTTCACTCAAAGTATACCTAGACACAGGAGAACTATTGTTGTGAAAGTGTTGTACAGTCAATTACAAATTTAGATTGCAGAGAGTTTGTTCTGAGCGCTAAAGGCACTCACAATAGAGCACATTTTGCTTTATTCTAACATTCAATCACAAAAGGCAACAAAACAAATTTACGTCAACAACAGCACTGCCTTATCTACAAAGGAGTGAGTGATTTGTTGACAATGGGGCGTTCTTCATCCGGTGGTGGAAGAGGACATGTGACTCCTCAGAAAGTCAAGAGCAACTTGAGTTCAACAGTTGTGAAACATCTATTTTCAACAAAAGATGAAAACGATGGAAAGGCAAGATCGTCGTACAAAGATGCCGAAGAAAGAGTGATTGATTATATCGAAGCTTCTGGAATGAAATGTTCCAAAGACATGGTGAAATCAATTCAAGATGGAAAGCCAACTCAAACTGAAGCTGTTGCAAGAGAAACAGAGATGGCCCAAAACTAGATTCTCTATTCTGCAAAGCTCGACGAGAACATGCGAAGATCAGCCTACTTTGAGACAAACAAGAGAACTGTCAAATCAAACATCATGCTGAAGTTTGTGACAAAGGCAATGGATATCAAGCTTCGAGGTGAAGCCAATTTCACAACTACTCTTGAAGATCCGATCAAACTCTTGACATGTATTGAACGATTCATGAAGAAGAGTGCTGATGCTGAGTATGATTTCTTGGATTTCTGGGAAGCAAATCAAAAGTTCTTTGCTATGAAGCAAGGAACAACAGAAAACTTGATGCATTTCAAGGAACGATTCTTGAGACAGGCTGAGGTCCTGCAAGATCTATATGGCGTGGCCTGGTTCCGAGATTTTGCAGTCAAGACAAAAGCGTATGCTGCTATTGCTAGCACCAATACTGCTGCTCTCAAAACAAGTTCAAGGATGATATCTTTGAAGCCGTTCTTGCAACAGGATTTCTAAGAACAGCTCCTCTGATGCTGGATCTTCAGACAAACTATTGCAGAGAAGTGGGTCATTATCCAAAGACGGTCAGCAAAGCACAAGATATGTTGAAGATTCACATGGAAGTGATTAAAAATCCGGGAGTGAACCTCTACCAAGGAAAATACCAACCTAATAAAGGTAAAGGTAAAGGTAAAGGAAAAGGGAAGGGGAAACCGAAGGATGGAAAGAAGGCAGCATGTTATGTATGTGGCAACAAAGACCATATGTCTCCAAAATGCCCAGACAGACT